CTCTTGGATCCTCCTCAATATCACACTCCACACCATAAACATTACCCATATCAACTTTTCTATCATTCTTTTGACTGCTCTCTCAGTTACTCTACCAATCTTTGACCACCCATTCATCACAATTTTCCACTTACTTTTAGCATCTCAAAATCAAAACCCAAGCACCTTAATAATAATAATAATATTATTATTATCTATTATAATTAATGAGCACATGCACTAAAACTAGCAAAATTCATATGGTTGTTGATATACATGGGTATTATCACTTAACAGACATTGGGTCCGAATCCGACAAACCCATTAGCTCCATCAACAGAAATCTGAATGCCCTCTTGCTGAATGTTGCCAATGATGGAAAGGGCAGAAGAAGAAGGAGCAAAGGCAAAACAAAAGGTTCCCACATCATCCACTGGGATCAGAAAGTTCCTAGCTGGCAGGGTCAAAATAGGCCCACCCGAAAAGTAAAACGAAACGGTCGGAACCCGAACCGATACAAACCCAAACAGGTCATAACACGTGTCAAAAATCGACGCTCCGGAAGCCCGTGGCAGGTTGGTGGTTTGGGCTATAAACCCATCGCGGAAAGCCTCGTAAGCCGCCGTTGGCAGCCGCGTCACAGCGGTGCCGGTGTCCATAACGACTCCGCCATCACCCATTTCGGATAATTTGAAAACATCTTCGGGTATGGGTATCCGTAGCCCCCCAACTCCCAGACCCAAAAGCCCAACATAGTAAAAACTTGGGGCCCGCGGGTTGTGGATCAGGGGAACCCACGCTGCTCCCACGGGCATTGCTTCGCGTCCGAATTCGAGTAATCCGGGGGATTGGGTTCCCCTGCTAACTAAACAATAACTAAAGGCCTCGCCAGTTTGCCCACCGAGCTGGCCCACGAAGGACATGGGCCCACCTCCGAGGCCCAGAAGCCCAGCGGCGCCAACGAACATTCCCTGGTTGCGGTGCCCGCACCCGATTGCCACGTTTCGGATCAAGGTTCGTCCGAAGGTGATTGTTTCAAGCGCGAGTGTTCCTTTAGTGTAGGACCCGTCTCCGTAGGAGACTTCGTACCGGCAGCGTCCCTCGTGGCAGCCGGCGTTGTCCACGTGGCTGCACACGGTGGACTCGCAGGAGACGCCGGCGTAGGAGGAGGAATCGGCTGGGTTGAAAACCGGGTCGGATTGGTGGTAGCATTGGGTGCAGGGTTCGCATTGGACCCATATAATGTCGCTGCCTGAGTCTATGACCACGTATTGGTTCCGAGGCGGGCTTCCAACTCCGATTCTGACAAAGTACTCCCCGCTTCCCTGTTCCATACCCGAGACCACATCCGACCCGAATGCCTCCGAGTCCAAGGTGGGTTTTCCGGAGGCCAGGCGGCGGAGGAGGGCGTCGACCCTTCTGGAGTCTCGCTTTATTCGGGCGTTGAACCGGGTCTGGTGGTCGTGGGAAGTGTTAAAGGTGGGAACTTTGTCTCTGTGGACTAGTTTTAGTTTCCCTTTTGTTGATGATGAATCAATGACAGTGTTGGGTGTTTGGTGGTTGTTGGACGGTTGTTTTGGGGTTGGGGTTGGAATGAGTTTGGTCTGTGCGAGGGTTTGTTTTACGTCGAGTTGTTGGAAATGAGGGTATGATAGGTTGTGAGAAGAGGAGGTGCTTAGAAGGAACGAGAGCAGAAGCAGAACTGTGAACATGGTGCTGTGTTATTGATGTTTTAGTTGTTGGTGTGATACGGATGCGTGTGTGTGTTGTGTTGTGTGCAGAGCGAGGAGGAATTTATTTGGTTGGGTTTTTGGTGTGTAGAGGGAAAAGGGGTTTACTGTGGAAATAATTGTACGTAGAAGAAGTTTCTGTTTTTGTAGTTTAGTGTTTGGAATGATTTATACGAGTTTTAGAGGTGAGTGGAAAGTTGTATGCATCTTTGAGAATGGTGCATTGAGGAAGGAGTGGAGCGATGTGGTGGTGAGTTACAGCAAGATGGAAAGGTAGTTGGTGGTGGTGGTGATGGCACATAGTATTTTTGTTAAGGGATTTATTTGATAGTGTAAAACATGGTATTATCTATTGATTTTGTATTGATTATGCATTTTTGTCTTTACCTGCTACTGCAATTGTGTGTACTAGAAGTGCTCAATGGCCAAATGAAATGACCAACCGATAGTGTGCTCGTTTAGTGAGTTTTTTACTTTTATTGGAATGTTGTCTTTCATTTTTACTGATGATGTTATTGTTGTCACTTTATTAGTACTAAAATTAACTTGTGGGGAGGAGTGACATGGTTTTGAAGAAAAGGATGGCCCCTTGAAGGGAAAAAAGGGGCGACCAGACGTGTTTGTCTGTGACACTTTTTTTGGGTCACGCCAACATGATCTGTTTAATAGGAAGAGAAAGAAGGATTGGTATCACTGTTGTGTGGGGAAGAAAGTGATGATGGAAGGACATTGACATTTGGTAAAGCTGCAACTAATTTCCTGGTTACACCAGAAAAATTAGCAATGAATAGTAGGTACACTCTAACAAATTTGTCTATGTATATTGCACAGCAATATTATCTAGCAATTAAGCCTTCAAGTTAACAACATCTCATGAAATGGAAATCAGGTATCTCAAATGATACTGTGCTATTCAATCTATTGGCAGAAGGGAAAACAGAATTACACGTTATACTGTACGGCTAGACCTATATAGTTAGGAAAGAACCACTGAAATTGCATACGTTTAAATTTATAAAATTCAGATAAACAACATAAGAGTCTAGAATGGAGATAGGACATCTTTAATAGTGAACACTTCTAAAGAATCTGAAAACTAACATTTAAGTGGAAGTGTTACTTAATAGATAGTGGGTCAAAATTGAACTCTGATTAGAGTTTTACTAATCCTAAACTCATATAACAAAACTATGAGATGAAAAGTAAGAGGTAGTTGATTACATTTATTATGAATTTAAGACTTGATTCTGATAACTGATCGGTATAATTACTAACTTAAGCATTAGAATGTCTTTGACAGGTATTTCCGATTTGAAATGTAATGGAGGAAAAGTCTGATCAAAGACGTTCAAAATCTTCTCTGTTTCTCCATTAAATTTAGTTGGTTGTACAGTGTAGCGTGTTTATTTTAATTGCACCAATTGGTGAAAGAATTGGTAGCCATGTTGGTTGAGAGTGTTGTTGATGATGGACATTAGAAGAAAGACATAGGAATTATTAGTTGTGGAATAGAGGCTTAACTTTTCCATCAATGATTGCAAAAGAAAAAAAATTGTGGATTGCAAGCATTAATTCATTCGTTGGGCTCTCTGCATTATGCATGTGTCACTTTTGAATGCATTCATGCAAAATCACTATTGTTTTCCCTGGTTTGGGTTTACAATGAAGGAATTTTAAGGGAACTTAATCACTTTGTTGACTAAGATATGCGTCAGCTTTGCCTTCACCTTAAATAAAGATTAAATTCTCTCTTCCTTTCTCTCTCTGTCTCTTTCAATTCCTAATCCAAATATCCAATGAGTTTCTTGAATAGCCAACCTTCAAAAGTGGAAGACTTCTAATTTCTTTTAAAAGATAATACTGTTGTTATTCAAGTATCGATTTTATAATGGTAGCCTTTTTAATGGAAAACTTTCAATGGGCTCTTTGGACACAATCAATAAAGTAAAAGAACACGAACAACTTACTAATAAAATAATACATTTTTCTTCTAATAATTATCTCATTAATTACTTTATTATTTTGCAACACTTAATACTCTCAGATTGTGATCAAGTATATCCCAGATATAATAATTAATTATATTAAATGTCCTGTGTAGACTAATGTGATATCCTTACAAATATATCTCAAATACAATAATAAATTCTAAAGATGTTAATTCAAATTAGGATTTGTAAACAAAATTGATATTGTTGTTGGTACATGTAGTTCGGTATTGGGCCCAAATTCTGAATTTGATTTGGAAGATAGATAAATTGTTCATATATCAATCTAACCACATGTATTACCTATTTTAAACTTATTAGAACTCTTGACTAAAACAATTGTCATGATCAATTTTTTTATTAAAAATAAATTACAAATTCTAAATCGTGAGTGGATAGATACACTGACTATGCAATACTTAATTGTTTTTATCGAATTTCTAAGCGTAATTTTTTCAATAAGTAACAAGATTTGAATAGATGGAAAAATCTGACGTGTATTCTTAATGAATTAAAATATAAGAAAAAATTCACTTATAAAATACTCTTAAACGTTAAAATTAGTAAAAAAAATTGTAATTTTTAAGTTAAAAAAATATCATGAATGAGTGTGTATTTTCCAAAAAAAATGTCAAATATATTTATAAAATTTTTAGATTTAAGAGTCAATATGATAAAATTGATAATATAATATTAAATAATAATAATATAGAACTTTATCCTAACTAATAATAATATTGAATATAATCATACTGAGAAAATTTATAATAATTATTGGTATATATATAAATTTTTGTTCATATTTTATAATATATTCGACAAGATAGGTATATTAATGATTTGAGAAAATATTGGTGATGTTGGGAAAAAGCACAATATATTTGTATAGAGGACACAGAGAAGAGTGGAAGGTGCACAACCATAATGCACATGTCTGTTCTCCAATCATATGTATGACCATGTCCATATATGCATCAAACAATACCATAATTCAACATCATACATGTCTATGATTGTTTATTTTACATGTCAGTGACATGTTAAAAAAAAATAACAGTACCATGACACTTTTATTTTCATTTGATGTAATATAACCGTAAAATAGTTATAAAAGTATAAATTTGTGTCTTTTTAATAAAAAATAAGAAATGATAATTTCAAATGAACCTAAACAATTTAGATATGTCAAATAATCATTACTCTTAACAAAAATCAAATCAATAAACAACAAAATTACAAAAGAAAAAAAAGCTGTTTTATGTGTCCAAAGTTTGTTAAGAGATAGTTTTCTTTATATATATANATTACTATAAAAGATACCGTTGAAGATCGGATACTGTCTCTACAGGTACAATATCCGCCAGTTTAATTTTCTTGTATGTGCCAAAATGAGTTCATACATGGTGGCCATTTCGGATTTAGGTGAACAGGAGTGAGTGAGGCTTAACAGCCAATCGGACTTTACAAGTTCTTAATTGTTTTCTCTTTCACCATTAACCGCTCCTTTTTAATATTGCTTACTCTTGTAATTCATTAAACAAAATTGGACTTGTAAAATTAACAGAAGTTCTATTATGGTTAAAGGAGAAAAGTCAAAATTAGCACATGAAGTGATATTTTTTTAAAAAGGTTATTTATTTAGTAGGCTTTGATATATATGAGAGGGGGGAGTTTGTGTGACTGAGATGAAGATAGACTGCATCTGTCAAATAAATTCTCATTATGTTCTTGTGTTGTACCATTTGGCAGGAGGATAAGAGAGAAATGGTTGCATCTGCTTTTGGGGAAGACCATGCTGGTAGGTCTGGAACTCGCCTTACAGTGGATGATCTGAAATATCTCTTCATGGTCTAGACTCAAGACCTCTCCTTGCTTCTTCTTCTCATATGATGGATGGATAATTTGAAGTTTTGTTTTGTTTTGGGAGATTTGGCATGGAGTTGGAATGGTTGTTCTGAAGGAGGGGTATGACTTTTTTTGGTAGGAGAGTCTTGGTTGATCCAAGTTGTAATATGATCTGTTTTGAGCCCACAAGGGCAATTTTGTCCTCCATGCTTTTATATAGCTGAAGGCTGTATGTAAATATTCTTATCAAATTATAATATGGTTTATGAAAATATGACCTTGTGCAGAGCTCTTCCTTTTGTTGCAGTGTACAGTTTTCTTGCTAGCTACTGTGGGTCTAGCTGTACCCTCCATGCTGGGCCCCCCTCTCCGGTGTAGATTGACCAACTCGATGTGGGCTCTTATTTTAGAACAAATTCAAAAGTTTAAGTGCGTATCCTTACTGTTTGCAATTTTGAATTTTTATTAAACACCGTTAGTCTATAATTGAAAATAACTTTACTATTCATTGATTGTGCAGAAATTTTATAGAAGTAATTTTGTTTGATTATTGCTTTGTAGAATTTGATTTTGCTTCGAAATTTTGGTTTGATTAAAAGTAATAAAAAGTAGCTTTTGCATCTGTAGGGGCAGTTATATGAAGTTTTACCGCAAGCTTGTGTTTAAGCTAAAACATTTTAATACAAGTATGTAGATACATAAATATACCTTCATTCGACGTAGAGGTTTTTTCTTTCTTTCAATCTTTCTCTTTTTGGTGTATATTAGGTATTGATAAATATTTTGAATGTCTCATAGATTATTTTCATTTTAATATTCACTTTTGCCAGTCTTTACTAATATGAAGACACGACGGTATTTTGTATACTTGAATGACTATCGAAATTCCTAAAGAATTATTTTTTTCTTTTGAAATTTGTCAGTATTCCTCTGATTTGATCTAACGAAAGTAGAATGTGTGTGAAATGTACTGATTATTTGTTTTAGTGTTGAACATAGAAAAAAAATGAACTGAAGGTAGTATCTTTGATTTGTAAAGAAGCATTAAAAAAACTCTCTTTGCTACAAAAGAAATTATTCATTACGAATGCAACGCGTTCATTGAGCTAACTGGATGATCGCATTAATGTCAATGCCATATCATAAATTAGAGCAAATTCAATTTTTATTGTTATCAAAAGGTATAATGCTGAGACATAACAGCATTGACGTAACAACGAGGGTATAAAATCTTAAGATTTTTTGAAGGGTTTTTTATGTGCCTGTAGAGATGCAAAGTATATCCTACATGATCTTATTTTCTAATCAAAGGGTACATTAATTGATTCCTTTCCTTTCACCATTTTTCACCAACAGGTTCCCACTTTATGGTGGGCCTATAAAGTGCTTACAAAGCCAAAGGACTGGACACGAAAAATATCATTTTCACTGCTAAAATTATCAAACACATTGATGCATTGACGTGAATGGAACATGTAAGGCTGAATTTGGTGCTAATAATGAACCACATTAGGGAATAAAAAGAAATGGAGAAGGGTGATTTATGTTAATCTTAGATCCTTGAAAAGAGAAAAAGCAAAGCAGAAATGGCTTGGCTTTGCAAAAGTGAGTGGTGAAATGCACTCGAAACAGAGGTCCCAACAAAAGGCAGAGCAGAGAGTCCCTATTGATGGTTTTCACATGCCCATAATGGTGGTGGCTCCCCTTCTTCCCTCATCATTCAATTGCACTACCAGCTTTCACACTGGGGAATCTCTATATGTGAAAGAAAGAAAGAAAAAAGAAAAAAAGAAAAAGATGTCAGAGCAATGTCCACCCATCAGTAGTAGTGAAGCTAAATCATTTCCCACCTTCAAATTCATTAAAAGTGTTCTCTTGGATCCTCCTCAATATCACACTCCACACCATAAACATTACCCATATCAACTTTTCTATCATTCTTTTGACTGCTCTCTCAGTTACTCTACCAATCTTTGACCACCCATTCATCACAATTTTCCACTTACTTTTAGCATCTCAAAATCAAAACCCAAGCACCTTAATAATAATAATAATATTATTATTATCTATTATAATTAATGAGCACATGCACTAAAACTAGCAAAATTCATATGGTTGTTGATATACATGGGTATTATCACTTAACAGACATTGGGTCCGAATCCGACAAACCCATTAGCTCCATCAACAGAAATCTGAATGCCCTCTTGCTGAATGTTGCCAATGATGGAAAGGGCAGAAGAAGAAGGAGCAAAGGCAAAACAAAAGGTTCCCACATCATCCACTGGGATCAGAAAGTTCCTAGCTGGCAGGGTCAAAATAGGCCCACCCGAAAAGTAAAACGAAACGGTCGGAACCCGAACCGATACAAACCCAAACAGGTCATAACACGTGTCAAAAATCGACGCTCCGGAAGCCCGTGGCAGGTTGGTGGTTTGGGCTATAAACCCATCGCGGAAAGCCTCGTAAGCCGCCGTTGGCAGCCGCGTCACAGCGGTGCCGGTGTCCATAACGACTCCGCCATCACCCATTTCGGATAATTTGAAAACATCTTCGGGTATGGGTATCCGTAGCCCCCCAACTCCCAGACCCAAAAGCCCAACATAGTAAAAACTTGGGGCCCGCGGGTTGTGGATCAGGGGAACCCACGCTGCTCCCACGGGCATTGCTTCGCGTCCGAATTCGAGTAATCCGGGGGATTGGGTTCCCCTGCTAACTAAACAATAACTAAAGGCCTCGCCAGTTTGCCCACCGAGCTGGCCCACGAAGGACATGGGCCCACCTCCGAGGCCCAGAAGCCCAGCGGCGCCAACGAACATTCCCTGGTTGCGGTGCCCGCACCCGATTGCAACGTTTCGGATCAAGGTTCGTCCGAAGGTGATTGTTTCAAGCGCGAGTGTTCCTTTAGTGTAGGACCCGTCTCCGTAGGAGACTTCGTACCGGCAGCGTCCCTCGTGGCAGCCGGCGTTGTCCACGTGGCTGCACACGGTGGACTCGCAGGAGACGCCGGCGTAGGAGGAGGAATCGGCTGGGTTGAAAACCGGGTCGGATTGGTGGTAGCATTGGGTGCAGGGTTCGCATTGGACCCATATAATGTCGCTGCCTGAGTCTATGACCACGTATTGGTTCCGAGGCGGGCTTCCAACTCCGATTCTGACAAAGTACTCCCCGCTTCCCTGTTCCATACCCGAGACCACATCCGACCCGAATGCCTCCGAGTCCAAGGTGGGTTTTCCGGAGGCCAGGCGGCGGAGGAGGGCGACGACCCTTCTGGAGTCTCGCTTTATTCGGGCGTTGAACCGGGTCTGGTGGTCGTGGGAAGTGTTAAAGGTGGGAACTTTGTCTCTGTGGACTAGTTTTAGTTTCCCTTTTGTTGATGATGAATCAATGACAGTGTTGGGTGTTTGGTGGTAGTTGGACGGTTGTTTTGGGGTTGGGGTTGGAATGAGTTTGGTCTGTGCGAGGGTTTGTTTTACGTCGAGTTGTTGGAAATGAGGGTATGATAGGTTGTGAGAAGAGGAGGTGCTTAGAAGGAACGAGAGCAGAAGCAGAACTGTGAACATGGTGCTGTGTTATTGATGTTTTAGTTGTTGGTGTGATACGGATGCGTGTGTGTGTTGTGTTGTGTGCAGAGCGAGGAGGAATTTATTTGGTTGGGTTTTTGGTGTGTAGAGGGAAAAGGGGTTTACTGTGGAAATAATTGTACGTAGAAGAAGTTTCTGTTTTTGTAGTTTAGTGTTTGGAATGATTTATACGAGTTTTAGAGGTGAGTGGAAAGTTGTATGCATCTTTGAGAATGGTGCATTGAGGAAGGAGTGGAGCGATGTGGTGGTGAGTTACAGCAAGATGGAAAGGTAGTTGGTGGTGGTGGTGATGGCACATAGTATTTTTGTTAAGGGATTTATTTGATAGTGTAAAACAT